GGGGGGGGGGGGGGGGGGGGCAGAGACGGTGGACCCCTGAAGCTCGCGGCCTAGCCTGTCTAACCGTGGAGAGCTCTAGGTACAGTGAAAGCCTGTCTCAAAACACAAGGTGCCAAATGAGGGTGCTCGGTGCTGACCTCTGGCCTCCACACGCACGTGTGTGCCCCCCCCCACTTGCACATGTGCGCGCACATACACAAACACAGACAGAAACACTTGCACAGACACACAAAGTTCAGATTGACTATAATCTTCATGTAATTTATCTCTGAGCAATGGTTGGTTCGCTAGCTTTCTGAGTGCCTGTGAAAGGTGCATTCTGGGAGCTGGGGAGGTCCAGCGTGTCTGCGGGCTGGACTCCAGTCGTCAGATAGGCTCAGCTCAAGGGCCCTTGTGGCTCCAGCCTCCTGTTGGCCCTGGGATGATCCCCAGCAGCTCCCTGGCTAACCAGCAACCTCAGTTTATGTCTCTACCCACAGAGACTCCAGACTTGGACCCGAGTGACAGTGGAGATGTGGTCTGGACAAGAGACTGGGGAACCATCTGTGTCAGAGGAAACCCTGCCCTTCAGTGCTGACTCAGGCGTCGGCTGTGAGAGCGACACAGAGCCTGTGACTAGCCCATCAGAGCCCGTCACCCCTGACACGTGGAGTCGTGCCTTCCCCGATGGGCCTGAACCAGGGTCTGAGGATGGGCTGAGCTCTCTGGTGGCCTCAGAAGTGTTGCTGAAGCTCGGGGGGCCCGTGGAGGCCATTGAGGAGTATGGACGGTGGCTGGATGCATGCATCCAGGCCTTGGAGAGGGAAGTGGCTGAAGAGGAGTTGGTCCAGGTCGATGCAGCTGTGGACGCCCTAGGCCGGTGGGAGATGTTCACAGGGCAGCTCCCTGTCACCAGGCAGCACCTGCCCTGTGCCAAGGATAATGTGGGGCTGCGCAGGGTCCTGGGGGACAAGTTCTTTTCCCTGAGGCGGCGGCTGAGCTCTCGAAGACTTGCCAAGGCCGGTTCTTCCCACTGCCGCTGGGGGGCGGAGAATTAATGCAGCGAGAGGGACCATCTGAAACAGTGAAGTCAGCTCCTGGGATTTTTTTCCTGAAGATACCAACCAACCATGCCTGCCCAGTGACTGAGGGTACTCTGGTATCTTTAGGATTAAAAGAAATGTCCCCAGAAGCTGAGGAAATGCTCCTTGGGTGCTTGACCACAGGGTCCCCATGTTATGGGGCCTGCAGCCATGGCCGAGAGGCAGGAGGTAGCCACATGCTTGCTTCCTACCTACAGGAGGGGGCTTTGGTCTGTCAAATTAATCATAGCTGGAGCTCTGGACTACCCTGGGGCATGGATTTTGTAGCTATGTGTGTTTTTGTGGCTGCGTGTCTGTGCACATGAGTGCAGCTGCCCTCAGAGGCCAGAAGAGGGCGCCAGAATCCCTGGGTGCCATTACAGGAAGTTGTGAGCCTATGTGGGAGCTTGAATTGAACTCAGGCCCTCTCTCTGCAAGTACAGTGCACACCTTTAATGTCTGAGCCCTCTATCTCTCCAGCACTGTGTCTTGGCAGCCTCGTGTCACTCACATGGGGTGCTTTCTGCTCCTCAAGACTGGCTCAGGTTTTTGTGGAGCTCCTGGAGAAATCTGTGCCCTGTCAGGATGACCATTTCTCCAGACAGAAGTGGGGTGATGGGGTGACTATGAACAGGTTCATGGGGTTGGACATGGAAGGCAGAGAGATCCTTTCTCCAACCCTGAGGCTGCTGCTTGTACTGTTGCTACCAGTTAGGCCAGTGTGGTGGTGGGGACTTGCCCTTCTGTCTTTGATGCCATTTTTCCTGTCGCAGTCTATAAACTCCTGATGGAAGAACGGTGTTAAAATTATTCATCCACAGCTGTGTTTTTCTCCTTTGTTTCTGTGTCTTGTATTGTTGAAGCTCTGACACACACACACACACACACACACACACACACACACACACACACACAGTTTTCCTGAAGTGACCTTCATTGTTCTCCAGTGTCCCAGCTGGCTAACAATGCCAGTCTCACTGTCCCCATTGTCCAGGGAGGAAGGAGCATAGGGGTCTTGGCGAGTCAAAGGGAGCATGTGCATCTTTTAGGTGAGTGGCTGTGTTGGATCTCTAGGGAAGGTTTGTTAGGGTCCACAGTTCCCGAGGTCACATCTGAGATGGGTTGGCTCTGTGGCTTTTAGGATGTGGTGACACAGAACATCACAGTGGGGGAGAGCATGTGGAGAGATGCTCACCTTACAGAGGCCAGGAAGCAAAGCAGAAGGGGGCCACTGATCTCTCTACCCTTTAAGGAAACATTCCCACTGATCCCTTCCTGCTGAGCTCTGTCTCCTATCACTACCTCACCCCTCATGGGTTTTTTTTTTTCCCCTTCCCTTTTTGGGATAAGGTCTCAGTAGCCCAAGCTGGTCTCTCTCTATGTAGTCAAGACAACTGTTTATGGCCTTCCTGCCTCCTCAGCTTCATGCTGTGAGTCCTTTATGTCCCCTGTTGTGTGCTTCCTTATGCTTTCTGGCTTTATTGGGTGAACAGCAGAGCCTAGATCATGGCCATGGATACCTCTTCAGTTGCCCTGATGTCCCCTCTTCTATCTGGAGCCCAGGCTCACATCAGAGAGGAAGGCAGGACATCATTTTGTTCCTGTTCATGACAGAAACTGCTGGGGATGGAAAATGGAGTTTCACCTCATGGCCTGGGCATGAGCAGGGAGGGGCTGTTGTCCTGGAATACTGTCCCTAGGACACAGACCTTTGTGGATAAGAAGACCCTCTAAAGTGCTTAAAAACACAGACATGTAGTGCTGGGGAGCTGGGTAAAACTAAAAGTCCAAACTTAGATCCTGCTGAGGTCGAAGGGGATGCTAGAACATTCCTGGGATGTGTTCACATACAGGAGGTCTGTGAACAGTGCCACAGTTAGCCACTCTGTGGATCCAACAGGCAGAGATAGCCAGGGTTTGGAGGGACAGGCAGCTGTGCCCAAGTCTTCCTGGGAAGGACAGGAAAGGTCTTGAAAAAGAGCGTGCGCATGTTCAGGCCAGAGGTCAATCTTTTTTGAGACTGGGTTTCTCTACACAGCCTTGGCTCTCCCGGGACTCACTCAGTAGACCAGTTTTTTTTTTTATTTTTAAAGATTTATTAATTATGTATACAGTGTTCTGCCTGAATGGCAGAAGAGGGCACCAGATCTCATTATAGATGGTTGTGAGCCACCATGTAGTTGCTGGAAATTGAACTCGGGACTTCTGGAAGAGTAGCCAGTGCTCTTAACCTCTGAGCCATCTAGCACCCCAGTCTGGGGTCTAATTCACAGAAATCCACCTGCCTCTCTCCTCAGTGCGGAAATTAAAGGCTTGCCCCACTAGGTTTGGCCTATCTTGCTATTTTAAAAATATTTTTATTAATTGAGAATGTCTTATCTTGCTTTTTTGAGACAGGGTTTCTCACTAGCCTGGAACTTGCCATGCAGGCTTGACTGACGCCAGTTAGCCCTTACAGAGCTGCCTGTCTCCACCTCTCCAGAGCTGGGATCATGTACCACCATGCCCAGCTTTGTTACTCGGTTCCTGGGGATCAAACTCAGGTCCTAAGCACCTTTGCTGGCTGAGGTGGTATTTCTTTATCCCCTCAGGCTGAACCTCGCCATCTTGCTCAGCCTCCCACTTATGCCTTGCTGTGCCTCTAAGTGCAGGAAAATTGTTGTGTCCGCTAGCTCACTTCCCTTATTAAAATCTTGGCGTATGTGAACAGGCAGATGAAGGCACACATGTCGTGGCATGCATGCGGAGGTCAGAAGAAAGCTTTCAGAAGTAGGTTCACCCTGTAGGTACTGGGGATTGAACTCAGGTCATCAGGCTTGTGTGGCAAGCACTTTTCAACCATCTTGCCACGCCAGCCTCCCACCATGCCACTCCTATTTCATGGCTCCAGAACCTGAAGTGGTCCGGAACCACGTGAGGCTCAGCAACATAGAGCTGAGTGAAATTTAGGCTGTTGGCCCTGCACGAGTCCTCTGCCTTCGTCCACTGTGTTCTTTGAACTCTGAGAAATTAGGTAGAATAAAGAGCTGCACAGATGGCTGAGGACCTGCGCCCTGACTCTCAGGCATTCCCCACTCAGCTCTGTTAAAGCTTCTGAAAGTTTCCACACACTTACCTCCATAGGGTGGGAAGATGGAGGTACACTAAGCAGAAGAAAAATCAGGCCAGTGAGATGGCTCAGTGGGTAGTGTGAGCCTGCCAACCTGTGTTTGATCTTCTGTGTAAATGTGGAAGGAAAGAATTGATTCCCCAAAGTTGCCCTCTGACCTCCACACACATGCCGTGGCATACTTGCACACACATGCAATAATAAAAATAATACTAATAAAACAAAGGCCCCTGGGGATCCAATCCCTCTGCAGCCTAAAGCAGGGGGCCTGTAACCTGCCAACTATCACAGGGAACACGGTATGCTGGGTGGGGCTGAACCCACAGTGACCCCCAGATGTTTCTTGGAAACTGCCTTTTAAAACAAGCCTCTTGACTTAAAGCTTGTTTTCATTTGCCTCTTACCCAAGGAGCAGAGCTCAAAAATAAACCTGAGTTATTTTGGGCTCCAGCCGGCAATGAGCGGTGATGCTGGGGAACGCTGAGCCAGGAAGGGCTCCAGCCACTGTCCACTGATCCTTTGCATTTCTTGCAGCAGACTTCAGAAGCTGGGTTCTTGGGCTGGGGATGTTGCTCAGGTGGTGGAGTACGTGCTTAGCATTCAGGAGGCTATGGGTTCCACTGTCAGTGCTGGGTTATATAAACCAGGCTTGGTGGTACCCAGCTATAATCCCAGCACTCAGGAGATGGAGGCAAAAGGACTAGCAGAAGTTCATGGTCATTCTTAGCTACTCAGCAACAAGCAATTAGAGGTCACTGTGGTATACACGAGATCCTATCTACTCAAGCATGAGGACCTGAGTTCAAATCCCAAGAGCCCACATAAAAAGCCATGCATGGTCAGGAATACCCGAGCACCTAGCGCTGTGGAGTGGGGGAAAGGGGAGAGACAGGAGGCTCACTGGGTTTTGCTGGGTGCCAGGCGAGATCCAGGTTCAATAGAGACCCTATCTCCAAACAGATTGCCAACAGGCCAAATTTATCTAGACATTCTATTGAGACTTCCCAAGTGAGTCTAGATTTGAGTAGTAGATAATGAAAACTAACTGCCATACCAAGGACTGAATAAAAAGGAGAAAGCCAGTGACTGGGACCCTCAGTCCCATGAACAGCTCTGCCAAGACTGTGAATGGTTGGGACCATGTTCCTTTGGGTAGGTCACACAATAAAGGTGACAAGGTGACGGTTGGAACAACCCTCTTTTATTCTGCTCACAGTGCTGGGGCTAGAAAAGGAAGCCCCTAACCACCATGCTTCCCAGCATTGCTATGGTACTCCCTGGCAGAGGCTGGAGTCTCCACTACCACAAGCTCACTCAGCACTTTGATTGGTTCTTGGTGCTTCTGTGAAGCGAGCCACCCACTCAAAGCTTTGTTATTTAGTGTGGGGTACACATGTCCATGTGCATGAGCAGAGGCCAGAGGATGTCCAGTGCTCTGCCTTACCACTCTCACTCACCGCAAGGTCTCGCTAGGAGCAGTGCTGGTGGCCAGCAAGTACCTGTCCCAGTCCTCCACAGTGCTAGGGGTGTAGGTGACATTTTATGTGGGTGCTCTGGATTTGAACTCCGGTTCTGTTGCTCTTAAGAGCCATCTCCCTGGCCCCTTTGGAGTTGATGTCATGCATGCCAGGCTGTGACTGTGTAAGCAGCAGTAGATGGCCTTTAACTCCTGCTTCTTCTGCCTCCACCTTCCAAGGTGTGTGACACAGTACCTGGATAAGGGTACATTTTAATGTACAAACCACATCAAATCACATGTGTTTGGGGGCTTTCATTTGAAAATGGCATTTAGGATGGCTCAGGCACATGGAACTGAAATTTGCAGTAGTGAATCTTCAAGTGAGGAAGGCTGTGCTTTTGAGATGGAAAAAGGAGAAAGTGAGTGTAGCTTTGCTTTGAGCCATGGTAACCAAGGACTCCTTCTGACCAACATCCAGAGGTGTGAAGTAGAGGGCAGCTGGCCCTGAGCTACTACTGCCCTAGTGGAGCCCTAACAAACCATAACCAGTTCAGCCCCTGAGCTGGCCAGTCACAACCCATCGGCTTGCTTGTTATTACTTTCGTGTGTGGATGTGCATGTGGAGGTCATCCTTGGGGCTGTCCACCATACTGAGACAAGGTGTCTTACTGGGACCCGAGGCTTACTGGGTCTCTGTCCCTGCTTCCCCAGGGCTGGGGTTACAGATGCACACACCACTCATGGCTTTTCATGTGGGTGCTGGGGGTCAAACTCAGGGTCTCATGCTTGTATGGAAAGCAGTTTTCTGATTGGGCCACCTCCCCAGATTTCTTTTTGCTATTATTTTTATCTTATCAAAGAAGTAGGGAAATCTTAAGACTAGAAATCCTGGACAACTCTAAATTACAGAATGAGTCAAGAACTTTGAAATAATTTATGTACAGGAGTTAACTAAGAACACCTCTCAGAATGCCTCCCCACCCGACCCCAGCCTGTCCTTTAACATCTATAGTCTAAGTAGGCAGGAAGCAATCTGATTTTAGGAAGTTTATTGTTACATTTTTTTTTTGCAGTAATAGAGGAGGCACAAATAACCTTCTGCTTCTCCAACACTGCAATAAAAAGGACAATAGTCAAGGGTAACAGTGAAATTAAAAAAAAATACAAAAGCCTAATGTCTGGGAGACAAATGACTACAATCTATGTGTAGAGACTTGTAAATGATTTCAGCCTCGCCCTGCAAACACTGTCTCCTTTTCCGATTGCACCACTTCACGGATCACAGAGTAGGGGCATCCTAACAGATAGGACATGGCCAGGCTCAGCTCACCAGGACGGTGGGCCAGAGGCTGAGCTGGTCCAAGCTGCTGGGCCTCTGGCCATCCACCTGCTCAGCTAGTTGGAATTTCACATCTTGCTTCGCACATGCTTCCAGCTTTGAAAGTGACTGGTATGTATGTCAGGCTGTCAGAGGGACAGTGCTCTTCCCTGACAGCCCCACCACTCACCTTACTCACAGCAACCTCCAACAGTAGCTGGGGAACAGCTTGTGTCTGCTTGGGGTCTCGGCCCTGACTGAGATACATGGGGCACATGGCACCTGGCAAGGATGCCTTCTGTGTGCAGACCTAAGATCCCCAAGGAGCCCCATGTGGTTGCTAGCCACATCCCCTCAGCTCATGAAGACTTGGTGAAGCAGGCAGAATGGCTGTTTTCTTCCCAAAGGTAAGAGCCAGAAGCTCAGCAAATGCTGATAAAATTCTTGAGCAAAGAGAGTGAGAACAAGTGAGCAAGAAACTGACTGCTATTTCCTAATCAGAGCACTGCAATAGTGGGGTTTCAGAAGCAGCCCCCCTTCTCCTGGTTTAGCATCTGCTCCAATAATCCTATTTGTCTGATTGCTGAAATGAGCCAAGACCGGGATGCAATAGGGACCAAGTGTCAGGAGCAGTGTGGCTGAAGACAGGGCTCTTGGATGTGTTAGTGAGCCAAAGAAAAGAACACTCGGGGGCTAGAGATCTTCTTTTGTTTCAAATGCTAGGAAGTTATAAGCCCCGCCCCAGCCCCTAGAGAATAATTAATATACTGAGGGTCAGGTCTGGAATGCAACAGATTGTAAAACAGTATGACACCTGCCAGGAAGCTGGACAGGACAGGTTGTGCTGATGTCCCCAGCCTTCTGCATCCTCATGGACCAGAGTGCGGAAGGTGCCTATCGGCTCTGTGTGCACAGTGACAGAAGGTGGCCTGCCAGCAACTCTGAGAGCAGAGAGCACTGTGTGAAGGCAATGGTGAGGGACGGTGTGTAGAGCCCGGGGCTTCTCCTGAAGGGCTATGCTAGTGGCTGGGGCCCACCAAGCAGCCAAGGCATGAAGATGCTCTACAGCTGAGAGCATCTCTCTGGCCTGCTTTCAGAACCCAGGACAGGGGAGGCTACATGCCACCAACTGTCAAGTAAGGCATAGGAGCCATGTACAAGGCCACTTGGTTATGTGTCTTTGCCATTGGATGTGGAGGGATGGGGAAGGAGTAGAGAGCACCACTATGTGTACACAGGCTAGCCACAGCCACTCTAGAGGCCACCTCTCCACACCGTGCCCTGCTGGGCATGCAGATAAGGTGAGTGGCTGCTGGGGCATTAATAGCTTCACAGCTCCCACCTTGTTCTCTACAGCAGGGAATGGGTTCACCTGGCTCAGCTCCTTGGCTCATCCTGATATGCCTGGAGTGGGGACTCTGAGGGTGTTGGCACAATTTTAAAGGCAGTGTGTTCACTTTGGGGGTGGGGGGATGGCACTGTGGCCTGAGCTTGGACACTTTGAGCTTAGCAGCATTGCATGCCCCTCTACGGCCTAATGTGAGGCTAAGCTTCCAAGTTAGTGTGTCTCAGTGAGGACCTGCATGTCACAGGGTAGAGCTGCCTATAAGGCCAGCTGGGTTTGTGTTTCTGTCATTAATGAGAGCACGTGTGTGCCTGAACCTTGGTTAAGTTGTGTCAGCAAGGAATGATTTCTACAAGGAGGGAGAAAGCTGTGTTACCAGGTTTTACAGATCAACACCAGAGCGACGGCATGGATTCAGTAGTCTCACAGTCCCCGGATTCAGTAGCTATCACTGACACTCCTACGTCCTCTTGCCTGGAGCTCGCTGTTGTGGCTGCCAGTCCAGCATTCTTGAGCCAGGTATTAAATGGTGTGATTCGAGATGCCCACTGCAGGTCCATGCAGGCGACGACACACCAGAGACTGTGACCAAGGGCCACGGAGGCCACGAGAGGACGGCAGAGGGGCTGTCTCTCACTGCAGCATGATGTCTTTCAGGTTCTCCTGCAGGATCGTGTCCTTCACAGCATGAAACACGAAGCGGATGTTCTCGGTGTCTATGGCAGTGGTGAAGTGGTGGAACAGGGGCTTGCTGCGGTTTCGACGCTTCCTGTCAAAGCACTGTACCAGGTAGCGCTGGACGTCCTCCAGCCTGTGTGGGTCACCCTTGAAATCTGGGAAGTGCTTCTTAATGCTCACTGACTTCACCTTCTCCACCAGGAGGTCCATCTTGTTGAGGAAGAGGATGATGGAGACATTGAAGAAGAGCTTGTTGTTGACAATGGTCTCAAAGATGTTCATGGACTCTACTAGCCGGTTGGTGCGCCTGTCCTCCATGAGGACCTGGTCATACTCACTCGACGACACCATGAACAGGATCGACGTGATCCCATCAAAGCACTGGAACCACTTCTGGCGCTGTGACCTCTGGCCACCCACATCCACCATTTTAAACGGGATTTTCTTTATAACGAAGTCATGTTCCACGATTCCCTTGGTGGCCTTTCTGGCCAGCAGGATGTCTTGCTTACTGGGGAAGTAGTTCTAGAAAGTGTGAGGAAGGGAGACATTTGAGAAGGAAGAAAAACGGGAAAGGATGAGCAAAAAATGCTGGCAGAAGGACAGGCTGCAGGAGAAAGATACAGGGACTTTTGCAAGAACATTTAACCCAACACCAAAAGCAAGTCTCACTCAGAAACATAAATCCAGCTCACAACAAAGCCATAGGATTAAACACCTCGTTTCACAGTGAATACAGGCTCTCTGGCTTAAGGGAGAATGGCCAGAATCTTCAGTTAAGCCTTGTATAAAATCTTGTCTGTCTTTTCCACCAGAAGAAATTAAACAACTCTTTCATTTACTTCTATACTAAAGATATTGTTTAGTTTTCTAGCTTTCAGAGCACATACATTCTAAAATCTTTCTATGGACAAACCCCTTTGATTCTGCATTTTGAAGGCTCAGGGACCAGAACATTTGTCCACTCATGTCATAGCCTCACCAAAAGTCAACAGGCTGTGACCAGCACTGGCTAGAGAGTAACTTACTAGGTCACAGGGAATAGATGACATCTGTCTATTATACTATGAGGATGGACCAGTGAGATCCACACTAAGACCCTCATATGGTGAGTAATAATAATTTTAGTCAATAAATCAAAACGGGGAGAAAACCCAGCACATAGGAGAAAACCTACAGACAATAGACTACCCACCTGCAATAAGCAGGGCTCATTAAGATGTCAGCTCAACTCAAAATGTTAAAAAGTAACAGTATCACCAAGGAAAATTCACCAGGTGATGGGGAATTCTTAAAACTGCCTAGATGCTGGAGGTCACAATGGCAGCATGAATGTGCTTTTCAGTTTTGTTAGCCATGTACACTTATCTTATTTTTGTGTTTTATTGAGACAGGGTCTCCCAGGCTGGCCTTAATTCTTGATCCTCTGGCCTAGGCATGCTGAGTGCAGGGACTCCATTCCACCAGACCAAGAACCGAGAGACTGTGAGGAAGCAGTGACAATGGAGATATTCTTGGGCGGGCAGACAGGCAGGCAATTTGCCGAGGCTGGTTGTGAATGATCACCACTTTACCTAGGGTCTCACCATACTGCTTCCCTTGGCATATGCTAGAACTCTCTACCAGAATAAGTGACAGGAAGTCTCTTTTGGCCCTAGCCCTACCAATGTTTGTCACAGGGAATGGGCTGAAGCCATTCTCACAGGGCGAGTTCTTCCCTAAGACCAGGTGTGCAGAGCTGAGCAGGATATAACAGATGAACAGTTTACAGAATTAGATGTTAAGAGCTGCCTGGTTCATGGTGTCGCTGGAGCCGCTGTCTGCTTTGGTCTCCACATCAGGTTTTCTAACCCTGGATGGTAGACTGGGGTGGCAGGGAAACTGGGGCTACTCACCAGCTGGCCAATCCGGTCTAAGTTATCCAGGAAGTACTTCACCGATTCACCCTGTCATGAAGAGAAACAGTCACAGCTCAGTCTTGATTGAGGAAGCCACAGGAGCAGATGGAAGGGTGGAATGGGGGTGGGGGTGGGAGATGACGGCTGGGCTGTTCTGCTGCAAATAGGAAAGCAAGGTCTAGGAAGGAAGAGTGTCTGCGTGTGCTTGGTTTTCTGTTAGTTTGACACAAGCTAGAGTTATCTAGGATTAGGGACTAGTCATTGAGGGACAAGCAACCAGAGGGGTGCCTCTATTAGATTGTCCTGTGGCAAATCTGGGGGGCATTTTCTTGATTAATGATATATGTGATGTGGGAGCACTGAGTTTACTGTGGGTGGTGCCACCCCTGGGCAGACAGTTCCTGAGTTGTATAAAAAAGGTCGATGAGCAAACCAGAAGTGAGACAGTAAGCGGTGGTCCTCCACGGCCTCTGCATCAGTTCCCGTCTCCAGGTTCCTGCTTGAGTTCCTGCCATGACTTCCCTTAGTGATGGACTGCAAGGTGAAGTGTAAGCCTAAGAAACCCTTTCCTGCCTCAGGTTGTTCTGAGTTACAGCAATGGGAAGCAACATAGGACTCAGAGGTAGTTTGCAAGATAATACAAGCTGGGCGGTGGTGGTGCACGCCTTTAATCCCAGTACTGCCACCCCCCAAAAATAATACAGGTGTTGATTATGGATCCATAATGCCAACTCTTGGGAAGCTGAGACAGGATTACCACTGTTCAGGGCCAACCTGGACTACACAGCGAGTACCAATCCAGGTAGGTTTATAGAGCAATACCCTATTTCAGAAAAACAAAACAAGCATCACACAAAAATAACTCCCGAACCCCACAACTTAAAAAGAAAAAGCTGCTTCAAGGGCTGGAGATGTGGCTCAGTGCTAGAGTGTTTGACTAGCATGCAGCCTGAAGCCCCCAGTTCCACTCCTAATACCACACAAACTGGGTATGGTAGGCACACCTATAAT